TCATCATTCATTTCTCTCCCACCCCCTCTATGGAGACGAGAGACCTTGCCTTTCTTGATTCTCATTTTGTCTTTGGTAGATGCGGTTGAAAAAACGGTACTGTCAGCAACCAGAGTGATAGATAACACTTTGCTTTTGTAGCCAAGTTAGAAGCATAACTCAAGGAAGGGTAATGTCTCACTGTCCAGACTGAAACACCTATCTCCAGGTATGGATTGCAATGACATTTTGCTCAAGGATTTGGAACTATGCAGACTATTGACTTTGGTGATCCCCTCAAAGCTTCTCCTAGGATGAAGCTGTTAGCTTGACATTTTTCCTTGAGGGAAATACAGCATGTCCACAAGTATTGTATGAATTACCATAAAATTTGGTTCATACGTTCATGTCTGTTTTCCAACTGTGACCCCTTGGCCTCGTCTTTAGTGGTTTTCACTGTGTATGATTGTAAGATTACAACAAAAACCAATGTCTACCACTGCTGCATAAGATCTTTGTTTCACAGATTGGTTGGTGGGTATTTGCTTTCAGTAAATCCGAACAATGTAATGACGGAACCTTTTGTGGTAAATGTGCTTTCAGTTTGACAGAGAACCACCGATGGCTGCTGTCAGTCTTCATGTTAAATGTGTCACTGTCACCTTGTCAGCCTATTCTAGTCTCTCTGTCTATCTTTATCTTACACTGTGTGTGTGTGTGTGTGTGTGTGTGTGTGTGTGTGTGTGTGTGCGTGCGTGCGTGTGCGTGTGTGCGTGTGTATGGTCACACACCCACTCCTGCTGACAGTTATACAGGTTCATGCTGGAGAAATTTTGATCATTGCTGCCGCAGGTAATGGCAAGCAGGGACTGCTAGATAGTCAAACCTCGACATATACACACACGCACACACATTCACTCAAATACAGCTCAGTGTGTGAACTCAGCTGCCAGATGTTATACAAGCTTATACAATCAAATGAACTACACACATTACTTCTGTGTTGTGGGAGTGGTGCTGTGGATATGTGTATGCATGTGTATGTGTTGTTTTTTTTGCACCTGTATGAACATTAGCTTATTTATTAGTCCATTCTGGCTTCTATCACATTTAGGATCTCTCTCTCTCTCTGCCACTCACTCACTCACTCACAAACACACACACACACAATTCTGACCTTCTTCATAATTTCAGCTCAGTTTTTTTCTTTCCACCATTCAAACACAGTATTCAGCATGAATGAACACAGTGCGTCTGTGTGCGACTTTTTGTCAATGAACATGATGTACAAGTCATTTCTTCTTTCCTCATTTTTTTGTGAATTATCATAACTTCTAACTGTTGATTAGATTTTATCCACATTTTGTTAGATATATCTGTATTATGAAGTGTATTAACAGGATAGAATGGAAGCTGTGGTATGACTTCAGTGCTACGAGGGGTTGATCAAGACCTCTTGGCCTTATTGATAGTGTACAGCGAGTGTACAGTTTAATTATGCATACACACAAACATTCGAAGTGTGTATGAGAGAGCTTGAGAGCTTTGTGCATCAAGTGTAAGTGTATCCCTGTGTGGCTTTTTGTTCTCAATAGAAGCTCATTCATGTATGTGCCATTCGCTCTCTTGTTTCTTTCTTTTAGGGTAATTGGTAAATGAAAAGCTCCCAGTGTGTGTGTGTGAGGCAACAATACAAACAGCATGGCCCCCTTGTAATATCTGGCTTTGACGTCATCAGAACCCACAACAGCCATTATCACTGCAAACAGAGGTGTGGGTGTGTGTGTGTGTGTGTGTGTGTGTGTGTGTGTGTGTGTGTGTGTGTGTGTGT